CCCCGCGCTGGCGCTGGACGACGCGGGCTTCGCCTTCGTGCGGCGCGTGCTGGCGGCGCTGGAGGCGCGCGGGCTGGAGGAGCAGGGCCTGTACCGCGTGGCGGGCGTGGCGTCCAAGGTGGCGCGCCTGGTGGCGGCGGCGGCGGCGGGCCGGCTGCCGGCGCTGGAGGACCCGCTGGCGTGGGAGTCCAAGACGCTGACGAGCGCGCTCAAGAGCTACCTGCGCGGCCTGCCCGAGCCGCTACTGACGCGCGCGCTGCACGACCAGTTCATCGCCGTCGCCAGTGAGTTCACGTTTTTAAAAACGCAACGATGGGGTACTTCCCTCGCCAAATTCAATACTCATTTCTATTTTTCTAAAAGGACTCTTTTATATGTTTGCACAAAAGCGACTCCAGGTTTCTCGACGGCTCGTCAAATCAATATAATCAACTACACATGTCAGCTGTCACGGTCATCATATCAATGGACTTATAGTACAGTTCGTCACAATATGACACACCATCACAATCACTCCGCGACCAACGAGTTGTAATCGGTCTTTGCCTGCCGACAGACAACTGTTGAAGGAATCCTCCGCTAAATATTGTTGTTAATATTATTTAAATATTACCTATTTTAAATGTGGGAGAACCATGCTTCGGCACGAATGTTCTGGCTTGACCGGAGTGATACCACGGCCCAGCTGAAGACGTGAAGCAACGCTTGCGTTGTGTTTCGTCGTGTGTGTGAGGTTACCGGAGGCCCAATGACCCCCCCCATCCCCAGTCTCCCCAATCCCCGAATCCTTCACAATCCTCACATTCCCAATTTCCAAAAGGCCGGTAACGCCTTGGTCTTTCAGGTGTCCATGTGCGGCGCCGATTGCTTACCATCAGGTGATCCGTCTGCTCGTTTACCGGCTTATGCCATAAAATAAAAACAAAAATAACCAGCACCTTGTACATTTTTGTCAAAAGGCGTCGAATTTGTTGCCTACGTACACACGGCCACACATCAACCTATACAAAACCAGTTTATCCTGGTGTCGCGTCGCATCATCTTTCCGCACATTTAACGTTCAGTTTGTACTGGTTATGTAAAGCTCGACGTGTAGCCGTGTCTACTACGTAGACGTCGTTAAATTAATTCTACTGTTGTTCTTACAAGATCCTATCATTACTACTTTCTAAGATTATCTAGACACCACTGATAAACGGTGAAGGAAAACATCGTGAGGAAACCTGGACATACTCTAATTGTAAATTTGAAATTGCCAATCCGCATTAAGCAAGCGTGGTGATTAATGCTCAAACCTTCTTCCTGCGAGAAGAAACTTTCGATCAGCAGTAGCCACTTACCGCCTGTTTATTTATTTATTTTAAGAATAACGAAATTATCAAACAATACAGCTTCGATCAACAATAGCAACTAGATAAAGGGTTACGTACAAAATCAAGCTCCAGTTCTGTCCGCGTGAATAATAATAGTACCTCTAAAAAGATAACAAACAGAGAAAAATGTTTTAAACTAGTTTTAAGTTCAACCTAATAACAACCATGGCACCTAATAATATAGTCATAAATCATCAAAATATTATCTAATACTTACGACCATTCGTCACATAAGACGAGAAAAGTATTTTCTTACTCCTGTCATGTAAAATTAAAAGACATAAGTTGTACAATATCTAGTTTGAATTCAACCTTAAGTTTGAACAAATAAAGATAATTTTTCTATTATTGTTTTGCGATCTATATCGTTTTGTTTTGTTTCGTTTTGCTTCTTCAAATTTCGAATTTCGCTACAGGAGGTATGTATGAAGTCGCGTTGGACACTGAAATAATTTTATAATATGAAAATTAAGATTTCGGGATCTTAATATACATCACTTATTTTTATTAGCGGTACGTTTTTGTGTATGATATGTTTATTTACTTTATCATTAAGTCTTAGTCTAAATTATTTATTTCAGTTAGACCAGGATGGCACTTTTGAACGTCAACAATATAAATTTAAAAGTGAAGCTATTTGCTCATTCCAAGGTGTAGATTCCTATGGAGAAGAACGAGCAAGAAACTCCATAGGTTAGATACTCTTTTCCAATCAGGTTACAATACAATTTTATTTTATAATACAAATCGACTCCATGCATCCACTGTTCTGTTTAAACAAATGTTTGTGCGCGTGTTGGCGAGCCTTGGTCAAGGAATCGCCAACACACGCACAAACATTGGTGGCGTTGGTTTATAATTGGTAATTTTGTCTAATTTGATATTATTTACTAGTTTTAAAGCTTAACATATAACTTATTTTTTATGTAGTTATCAAAAGTAAGACAGTCCGGCCGTTATACTGCTTTTTCGGTTATTATTTTTGCAACTTGCAATTACGCACTGCGGCATCGCGAGACGTGAGTACGTTGGCCGTGTTTGGAGCATACTAAACAAAATAAGAGCTCACTTCTCAAGTGAGCTCTTATTTGTCGAGACGATTTTCTTGCGCCGACCCGATATCTAGTTATTGTTGATCGAAGCAATACAGCAATCAAATAACCACATAGTCGAACAATTAAGCAAAAATAATAAAGTAGTAAAATATTAAATAATAATCCAGTCAATCAACAAACCCGAGCGTACGGCGCGTCGCGTCCCGCGCGTGCCTCAAAGAGCCATCAGACCACCACGGATGGGGTCCAGTAGGGCAGTCGCCGACACGGAGCCGCGGAGAACTTGACGGGTTACCGGGGCTCTGGCGCGACGTGCAGGAGTAGGTACGGGGTGGTTTTTAGTCTTGAACAATCTGACACTCCCTCCCGCCTCCCCCAGGCAGGCGGGAGCTGCCATTCGATGAAATAAAAAGTCAATCAACAAACTCGAGTAATTTGATTTGTAAGATTACACAAATCTTGAATATTTTTAATATTTATGTATTCTGTCGATTCAGTTTTTCTTACATATATTTTACGACATCTCACCCAAACTTTGTGGCCCGCGAGTATTGTTCGGATCGAGCGAGTCTAGATCGGAGATCAGCTATGTACTGATTTTTTT